CATAGTCATGACCATGAACTCCCTAGTTTAAGAAATTTACCCGACATTACTTCAGTGCAACCAGCCGAGAAACTGATAGCCTGTCTCATTTACGATTAACAAGAACAGTATGATATTTTGATGTTTAATAACAGAATGGACGAGGTGTACGGCGAGAGCGCCACCTAGGGCTGCAAATTTCCTTGGCTGGCTAAACAGCTCACTGCTCTTGTAATAATTAGCACAAGTGTAAATCCGAAATAAGATTAGGTTCTAGAGAAGTTAAGTTGTTCTTCTGCTAAAAAACGCAAAATTTCTTTTAAAAAACAAGCCATACAGCTGAAAAGCACCAAATTAAAAGCGACGACGTTTTTTCACCAGGGAAACGAGTGCACTTGGCTGTTAGCACCTTTCACAAAAACCACTGCTGTACGAATCGTCATCCGAAAATTAAGTGAAGAACACTTACGGAAAAAACTCGCTTCGCTTTTTCAACAATTCTTCTTTCGTATGACGTGCCACAAAAGCTGAAAGCACTTTTTTCGATGCCTGCTTCAATTCTTGGCGCTCTCGTAGACCAATTCTGGCTGCTGCGGCCATTTCTTTCGATAAAAGTGCCCAAAAATAAATATAATTAAAAATATTATAAAATGCCTACTTGAAAACGCGGTAAGGAGGATGGATATGAACAGTAAACTTAAGCAAAATTTAATTACCATGAGAAACTTCCCGACAGTACTTTATTTCAATACAGCTCCGAAGGTACTCATACACTTATGTAAGCAAAACGTAAAGCACGGCAAAAAACGTTAACCAGTAACACACGTCGGTCGGTTCATCAATCGTTCTCTCTGAACCTTCATTTCTAATTCCATTAACTCATCACACATACTACCAATGATACTTTTAATGCAAATTTCTGTATATGATACAACTCAACTACAGTTATTAGCACCATAGATTAAACATTAACATGCATTTTCGGGATCTTCTTTTCCGCCTTAGGTCAGGAGCAAGCTTCTAACACTTCCTTCATCAAGCGGAGACCATTACTGTTACAACCACAATACTATAATGGATGGAGAATACGTATCGTTTCTTCGAACTGTTCAGAGTTACCCTGATTTTTCACAGTTCAAAACACAATCTTACTCGTTTTCGAACCATTCTGCCCTCAAAAAATGGTGTTGTATGCAGAGATTATTTAAAAGATACAATCAACAACAAGAATCAGCACTTTGCGGAAATTTACAATGTAATACCTTAAACCATTTCAAATATCAGAAAGAAGTCCTAAAAGACAAGATTCTCCATCACGGTTAAAAAGACAATCTGACAGTACACAAATGCTACCACGCAGATTTTCAAGATTGCGGTAAAAAATTCTCAAAATTTTTAAATACCATTGTCTTCAAGATCTATGACAACCATTTCAGAATTACATATTTACCATTTTGTCTACTCAGATGTAACAATGAACCGAATGATTTATCGGACTAACGAAGAAATACATAATTTATTCAGATGAAAAGTCTGCCGCGAAGAACAAAAAATGCTTCACAAAGAGTTTTTACGAAAGGTTCCTAGTAAGAAAGAACTGAATTGTAACTGGCACCAGCAGTGAAGGCTGGATGGCCAGAAGCCACTACGCTGCCAAAACAAACCCTGGCGGTAACCGACTTAACCTAAGCATCGCTTGTTCGTTTTTACGAAACCACACCATCGAATTGCTGCATGGTGTGCAGATAATTGTTTGTCAAATAAGCTTGTAAAGTCACGATCTATTTTTTCGAATATTTGCATTATTGCAGAAAAGTTCCCTGCTACAAGATGAAAACGGCAATGGATAGAATACATTGCGGAACTCTCAACCACAAGCAACCTCAGAAGACAACATCGTAGAGCAACAGGGAAGTGATATTAATATATCTGTATATGAAATCACAAAAGCTATTATAAGCTTGAAAGATGAAAGGGCTGCTGGAATTGATCAAATGCGCTCTGAAATTCTCAAAGCATTAATCGAACAGGGTATGTCTGTCAAATTGAGGTAGCAACGGAGAAAACACTAGTGGATTAGTGACCGGGAACTGCAATA